TAGGCGGTTTTGGACCATCTTAATGGGCTCCATTTTTATTGTAACTTCGAGCATGCATTGTTTTGAAGGTGCTCTTTGATAAGGCTTCGAAAATGGCTTTGAATAAAGGCAAAATATGATTATCATGTGGTGGCACACTAGGCATTCACCGCCGCAACAGCGATGTTTTTATCAACGGTCCCTTCACCTCCACTGCCGGCAGCTCGGATGGCGCAACGGATAACACGATGGACTCTGGATTGGACGACGATACGGCACTTTGTGGATCGAATCCTGCTCGCGTAGATTAGTTTTGCATTTTCCAGTTTCGCGTTCCTGTGTCTCTGGCAGTGGAAATAAGCCATGTACATGCCAGTTTAAGGCATATTCTTTATTCGACACGTTGCAAACCAGCGCGGTTGTGCGGAAAAGCCTGTTTCCGGGAATGTTCTAGTCTCATTGTGTACCATTTCCCTTCATTGATGGACAAATCTCACAGCTGTGGTAAAGTTCAACAAAACATGTGAAGCATATGCATCTACTGCACCAACTACACCTAACAAAAGCCAGAGAAGAACAATTGCTGTCTTCTTGACAAGGGACGACAACATCTCCTTCGTTGATGTCGTCCGTCCAGGATGCTGGAGATCTTTTTGATCTACTGGAACTGTTGATCACATCAATATAAGCGATGATGCAAGCCTACTGCATCCTAATATTACTCCATCCGAATATGCAACGTGTCGAATAAAGAATATGCCTTAAACTGGCATGTACATGGCTTATTTCCACTGCCAGAGACACAGGAACGCGAAACTGGAAAATGCAAAAATCTACGCGAGCAGGATTCGATCCACAAAGTGCCGTATCGTCGTCCAATCCAGAGTCCATCGTGTTATCCGTTGCGCCATCCGAGCTGCCGGCAGTGGAGGTGAAGGGACCGTTGATAAAAACATCGCTGTTGCGGCGGTGAATGCCTAGTGTGCCACCATGATAATCATATTTTGCCTTTATTCAAAGCCATTTTCGAAGCCTTATCAAAGAGCACCTTCAAAACAATGCATGCTCGAAGTTACAATAAAAATGGAGCCCATTAAGATGGTCAAAACCGCTCCAACCCCAGTAATCGTGCCTTCTATATACAAGTAATTCGAAAGTATTCGCCGAAAGTTTGCCGGTTTTATTGCAATGTTATCAACTCTACTTGTTCCTTAAGGCGATGCAACGGTTACGCATCAAAGTGGCCGCTGAACTGGATGCCTGTACAAAAGCGAAGTATGAAATTTTGATCCGTGGATTCTTCCGTATCTTCTTCAGACCATCATGGGAAAGTGGGCCGCTGTC